TTATGTCCTTTTGAAACCGAGCTTCAGCATTTGGCACGGCAGAATCAAAATAGTTAGCCTTTAAATCTGCCTTCCAGCTTCTCCATTTTTTGCCAATAGATCTTAAGGTCCAAGCTTCCAGTCCCATAGGCAAAGCAAACCTTTCCTGAAACGTAGTTAGCAACAAGAAAATCAACACAACTTCACAGTAATTTTTGTACAAAGCATACATAATACAAAAGCTGCCATTACCTTTATCACTTCTAACATGTCCATTTTAAGTTTCCTTGGCATCTTAAGCCATGTTTCAACATCTATTGGACAATACATACCATTCCTAGCCAAACTGCCCAAGAATTCAGAGAAAGAGTTTTTCTCACTTATTGGGATCCCATTGTCATCGAGTTTAATCTCAATCCGTGGAAGTTCCTTAGGCCGACCCCAAATTTCTTTCATAAATATAGGGCCTCGGGTTTTATGATTTACTTCACTTGAATCATTTGTAGTTTCTTTTCCTGTTTAAAATAAGAAAAAGGTGCAAGTTATGAACATAACAAAATGCACTTCTGGAATTGGTTCAAAACAGTTAGTAATACCTGCATTGTCCGAGTTGCATGACATGAAGGTGGTGTCACTGGAATGTGGACCTCGAGAATCCTGATTTGGACTTTCTTCGGTTGCTTCATGCCTTGTTCCAAGTGGAGATTGTTGAATTGGAGAGTTCTGGCACTGCTCATGCGACTTGGAACCTCCATCAGCTTGTTGAGTAACTTGGTCACCTGATTCATGCATTATTCCCAATGTAGAATTCTGAATTGCAGATTGAGGTGCCCGAGCAGCTTCTCCTTGCACTTGTTCAATTACATTTTCATGGCTTGTTCCAAGTGGAGGCTGCTGCCTTGTTTCATAACATGAGGGAGGTTGCTCAATTGGTTCATCTCTCAATCCATTTGCAGCGCGCTTACATTTTCGACCTCTACGGGCCATACCTGCATAATATTTGAGTGAAGAAAGGGACAAATGTAAATGTTTAAAATTTATTGAAGCACACTCTCTACCTATAGTTTCTTTAACTTACAAATGCTATTATAAAGAAGTACTACTTGAACAATAAACTGGCATGACAAGTAACAAATGGCATTCTGCAAGAATAAACCAGGGGAAGACTATGGAGCTGTCAACAGAACAGAGAAACAAATGGAGAATATATGATTCAATGCAGCAACTAATTGGAAATGAAATGAAAGCTACATGCTTAAGTGACTGCAAGAATATACATGGGAAATGCTTTGATCTACATCCTTTCAGCATGAAAGATATGCAGAATTTACTACCGCTAGACACGAAACTTTTTCCATATTGTTCTGAGAATGATGCCTATGATCAAAAGTTGGTATGCTTATGCTCAATGAGGGTGTAAGTAGAAGAGTCCACGTAATTTTAACTTCAGTAATGGAGCAAACTAATAAATGATTGTCTTGAATTAACGAAATATACTTGGCCATGTGATAACCAAAAATTGCAGAGGATAATGTATTCTACCAACAAATACAAGTCTTGGTTTTGTATGTTTAGGGTGGCAATCGGGTCGGTTATGAAGCTCTACTGAATACTTTTATTTCCAGATTCTGACATGGTTCTGCATTTATCAAGAACTTGTCTCATCTAAACAAGAGCTCAAGCTTTACGTAGCATTGACGATTCCAAACCAAATTACTTCTCTTTTTGCCAGAGCCACATCCACAGTTATGGGTTGACACTTAACAGTAAATGCACAAACACTTTTCCAATACAATTGTAGCAGTACAAACAATACAGTTGTAGAACAGGAAGGAGACGAAGAGCATCACGGTGAAAGACTGAAAACGAGAACCCATCACCAAAAATAGATGGTTGAAATTGTACATTCAGTTCACAGTAGCAGTCTCCATTCGACCAGGCTCACCTAGAAATGTGCTTCTCAGAAATGTGCTTTTCACACCGCCACCACCCCAAAAGCTTTTCACACCACCACCACCCCCCAAAGCAAACATTCTACCTAGAAATGTGCTTCTCAGAAACGGAGAAGGTGCTTGTCAGAGATGGGAATCGAATAGCCTAAAAACTAAATCTACCAAGCAATGCAAGAACATGTCTACCATGCAATGCAGAATTAGACACAAAATACTGAAATTACCTCAAACTATGGCTTGAATCCCTAATTTCTCGGTTTCCCAAGCTTTGAAGCCCTAATTCTGATTTCTTCCCACCAAGCCAACACAACAGCCGAATTAGGGATTTGCCTGGTGCGAGCTCAACCAAGTTACCCAAAAGGGTGCGAGTTCATGGACGGCAATTGACTCAAATTGGTTGTGCGAGCTTGAAAGAGAGAGAGAGGACAAAGGCAGAGGACAACGAGAGAGGGAGAAGATGTCTGAAATAAAGGCAGTACTAATGACGCCAAAGTAAATTAGTCAAGCCTCTTGAATTTTTCAATTTGCCGCGCTACTAATGACAATTTTTGTGTGTTTGGGCAAAATTTTGTTAAAGCTAGATAACAACTAAAAATTTGGTTAAAGCTATATACAATATAATATAACAACTAAAAATATAAAGGCTAAAAATCTTGTTAAAGCTATATAACAACTAAAAATATAACAAATAAAAATTTTGCAAGAGCTATATACAATATAATATAACAATCAAAAATTTTGTTACAGCTATATAACAACTAAAAATATAACAAATAAAAATTTTGTTAAAGCTATATACAATGTAATATAATAACTAAAAATATAAAAATAATTAAAAATTTTGAGAAGCTAACAAAAAACATTCTTTTAATCAAAATGTTTTTTACTCAATTTATTTTATGCTGCGAGCAATTATGTACGGCTTGTAGTCTAACAAGCCATTGGAAGGATCGAATTAGTTTATGAAACAAGAAAATTAACTTGTGAATGCATGAACTTTCCATTGATAAACATTGGGATTAGAATTGATTGAACATAAACAATGAATATATATATATATATATATATATATTCAATGTTTTCAATTCCAAAGCAATTGCCATTGAACTTTGTGTTAATTAGAAACTTACTATCACTTACAAGATCTTACTATTGAACTTTTCAATGATTAACCTTAGGCTTACACTTACAACGCATTAATTGAACATAAACATATATATATATATATATATATATATATATATATATATATATATATAGGGTAAAAAAAAAAAAGGCCCCCTGTGTAGTTAACCTAATACACAGAAAAGCTCCCCATGGTTTCAAAATATACAACACGATCCCTCATGCTTTGAACTAAATTGTAAAGGTGACGGAATCCGTTAAACTTAACGGAAATGGACGAAATGACCAAAATGCACTGATATAATTAAGCAAAAGACAGCTCAAAAAAATCATTTGTTTCATTCTCTAAGTAGAGAGAATTGAGGGTTAAGGGGTAGAATATGCATATTTGATAAAAAATAGGCATAAAAATTTTTTTTAGGTTCCAATAAGTCATTTCCGTTAAGTTTAACGGATTCCGTCACCTTTATAATTTAGTTCAAAACATGAGGTGTCGTATTGTATATTTTGAAACCATAGGGGATTTTTCTGTGTATTAGGCTTACCACAGGGGGTTTTTTGTTTTTTACCCATATATATATATATATATATATTCATTGTTAAAAATTCCAAAGCAATTGCCACTGAACTTTGTGTTAATTAGAAACTTACTATCACTTACAAGATCTTACTATTGAACTTTTCAATGATTAACCTCAGGCTTACACTTACAACGCATTAATTGAACATAAACATATATATATATATATATATATTCAATGTTTTCAATTCCAAAGCAATTGCCATTGAACTTTGTGTTAATTAGAAGCTTACTATCACTTACAAGATCTTAATATTGAACTTTTCAATGATTAACCTTAGGCTTACACTTACAACGCATTGATTGAAGGATAATCTAAAATTGCGACTAAACCGATTAAATTCGATCAAAGATCAGTTGGACTAGAAAGCTCTATCGGAATTAACTTTTTGTATTGTTATTGGTTTAAAAAATAATTTTTTCATGGTATTAAAAAATTATTTAAGAAATTTATAGATTAAAGTTTCAAAATATTTCTATTAAAAAATTAGACCTCGGTTATTGGGAAAAAGAATTGGCCATAAAATAATGATTCACAAATGTAATATTACAGCTTACAATTAATGGAATTGCTTATAAAATAATGACAAGTATTTATCCAGCCCATTGGGCTCTTAAAATAAGTAATGGGTTCCTTGGAAAGTTGGATAGTTTTATGTTTGGTCTGAAATGATTTGCACATTCCGTACGTTGCCAATTGTTCTCCCCAAATCATAGCCTCGGTTGCCAATTGTTCTCATGCTATTAAAAGAAAAATCATTCCAATACCATTTTTATGAATAAGACTGACGATTACTAACCAAGACTAGAAATCCAAAAACTGGACCATGGGAGTATCAATGAAGAAAGGCCTTAAAGAGGCAAATTAATACACAAGTTTTAACTAATAGCACCAACTCTTTTATCACATCTGTCAGAAGGCTTAACATGACATCGAGAGCACTAAACTCAAAAAAAAAAAAATGCAAAACCCATCGACAAAAGGAAATAAAGCCTAGGCCTCGCAATTGAAACAGAGAAGAATAAGGCCAGTAAGCTTTAAAGCTATAAAAGATTCTAAATCAGATTATATTGGGACAAATCAACTTCAATCCCAAGTCCATTCTCACGAACCCAACTAATTTCCTCATTTTCATTCTCAACAACAGGATTGCCAACATCACTTTGCAAATATGTCTCAACATCCATGGTTGTGCCCATGTTATATCCAGCTCTTGCAGTGGTAGAGATAACCACTTGCCAATCCTTATCAGTTGGATCTTCCACATAAAAAACCTGTGATGCTTGTGAAGCAAGTATAAATGGCTCAACATGAGGCCTCACGTTTGCAAAATTGACTAAAGTAAACCCATCAGCATCTTGTTTCATTCTCGAACCATTTGATATCCAATCACATTCGAATAACACCACCCGCGACCTCCGTAAATTAATTCAATCATATTTTTCAAGATGCCGAAGTAAACTAGTTCACTCAAAACTGGATTTTGATCCCTTATACTTGCAAAACTGGATGTTGTTGCATTGACTGTAACACCACTATTCTGCGTTTTTCTTTTCTTCTCAACTTCTTTGGTGTGAAACCGAAATCCATTAACAACATACCTGCCATGTTGGATTCCAACAACATCTGGACCTTTAGCAAGGAACCTCAACTCTCTCAACACCGAAACATTTTGAGGAAGTTCTAACTTGTCAATCTGTAAAAAAAAAAAAAAAAAAAAGATGAAACTATATTTGAAGTCCTACAATTCAAATTGTACTTAATATTCAGAATTTTACTTACATGTTCAGCAAACCAACATGCAAAATTTTCACTGTGCAAGCGCTCTTTTAGATGCTGTGGAACTTGAGGATGTCCTTCTTCTATCAATCTACGATGCTGCCTAGAAGTACATGAGTCAAAATTGTAATCATACATTGAATTCTACAATAAAATTTTAATGCATCAAGTTGTAGTTGAACTTACTCTATGTAAGGTGTGACAGCATCACAGTTAAATAAAATATACTGATGTGCTTTACTCAAGATATGAGCATCAAAGACTGTTGGCTTGCCCCTCCCCAAAGGATGTCCTGATTCAGAGAATATATCTAAACCATCTTCAATTTCCTTATGTACTTCTTCATTTCTGCTTGGACGATTGAATTTTGTCTCAACATAGTCCGCAAGATACAATGAGCAAAAGTTAATGCATTCTTCTGCCAAGTAGCCTTGAGCAATCGAACCTTCAGGCCTACTTTTATTTCGAACATAAGATTTTAATGTTCCTAAGTACCTAAATTATCATCATTCCAAACTCTCTAATTAGTTCCACAAATCAAAGAAAGCAAAAAAGGAATAAACATTTAAGGCATAATGAGAATTACAAGCAGTACCTCTCTACAGGATACATCCAACGATAATACACCGGCCCACCTAATTTCACTTCAATTGCCAAATGAACAACTAAATGCACCATGACATCGAAGAAGGTTGGTGGGAAGCATTTCTCAAGATCGCAGAGTATGACGGCAATTTCACTTTCCAAACGAACCACATCTTGAGGACAAATAACTTTAGAACAAAGCTGCCTGAAGTATCTACTCAATCGAATCAAAGGATAGCGCACTGATTTTGGTAAAGTCTTTCTCAAAGCTATAGGCATCAATTGCTGCATTAGGATATGATTATCATGACTTTTAAGCCCTGAAATTCTTGGTGGTTTTACTCGAACGCATCTTGAGACGTTAGCTGCATAACCATCTGGAACTTTCACCTTTTTTAGCACATTGCAAAACATAGTTTTCTGTTTTTTATCCATTGCAAAGGAAGATGGAGGTAAGTACACCTTTCCAGGTTCTGTCTCAATGGGATGCAGCTCTTTTCTTAGTCCCATTTCTCTCAAATCACGGCGGGAATTATAATGGTCCTTTGTTTTATCCTCGGTGTCCAGCAATGTCCCCCAAATGTTTTCACAAACATTTTTCTCAATGTGCATGAAGTCAAGATTGTGTCTTAAGACATTATCTTTCCAATATGGCAAGTCAAAGAAAATACTCCTCTTTTTCCAATTGAAAGGCAGCTTCGGATTACCTTTCACAAGTTTTCCAAATTTAATTTGCAAGTCTCCCAATTCACTCACAATCATATCCCCGGTTTGCAAAGGTGGTCGCTTTCCATGTTCTTCGGTGCCATCAAAGAATTGGGCTTGCTTTCTAAATTTATGCTTACTATCTAAGAATCTCCGATGACCATGTAGCAATATTTGAAACTATGAGTCAACCGTCGTGCATGAGTGAACTTGTGACAAACAGGACAAGCATATTCACCTTTAGTGCTCCACCCAGATAACATTGCATATCCAGGGAAATCACTAATGGTCCACAACAGAGCCGCATGCAGTTGAAAATTTTCTTTTTGGGATGCATCATAAGTTTGAATGCCAAAATCCCACAATTCGGTCAGTTCTTTAACTAGAGGCTGTAGATAAACATCAATATTATTCCTAGGAGAGGATGGTCCGGGTATTAACAAAGACAACATGAAGTACGGTTGCTTCATACACATCCACAGAGGTAAGTTATATGGTATTAAAACTACAGGCCAAGTACTGTGTGTAGAACTCATGTTGTTGAATGGATTAAACCCGTCAGATGCCAACCCCAATCTAACATTTCGACAATCCTTAGCAAATTCTGGATGTAGATGGTCAAAAGTTTGCCAAGCTGGAGAATCAGCTGGATGTCTCATACAACCATCTTTTGTACGTTTTCCTCATGCCATCTCATTTGAGATGCAATTTTAGAAGACATAAATAGTCTTTGTAATCTAGGTTTTAAGGGAAAATGCCACAACACTTTTTGAGGAATTTTCCTTTTTTCCCCAGTTGGATCATTTTCTGAAGCAACCCACCTAAGCTCGTTACATGTTTCGCATGAAGTTCTTTTTTCAGCACTACCCCTATAAAGAGAACAATCATTAGGACATGCATCGATCTTTTCATAACCCAGCCCCAATGTATTCATCAATTTCTCAGCCTCATAGTAAGAAGACGGCAAATTAGTCATGGCCTCCGGAAATGCTTCTCTCAACAGCTCAACAAGCATATTAAAAATCTTGTTACTCATCTTACCCAGGCATTTTAGGTGAAGCAAACGAATAATGAAAGACAATTTCGAGAAATTTTTGCAACCATTGTACAAATCCTGTTGAGAATCATCAATCAATTTGTAAAATTTTTCAGCCTCTGAAACAGGAATGTCCCCTTCTCTATTCAATTCATTTGTTCCATGTGGTATCCCAAATACATCATGGACCAAGTCTTGCATGTCATTAGTCCCATTTGAAACCCAATTGATGTATTTTCAGAATTAGATGTGGCTTCATTGTAGTTTGAAAGTTCTCCATGTGCTATCCAATTATTATAACCCTTGATAAATCCTACCACTTTCAAATGATCATATGCTTCCATTTTTGTCACACAAACACCCATGCCGCAATCTTTGCAAGGACACAAAATCTTTCCGTCACAACTTGATCTAGAAAATGCGAAGTTTAGAAACATTTGAAGTCCTGTCTCGTACTTTTCACTTGTTCTTGGAAAATCCATCCATCTTTTATCCATACTTTTAATATAAATAAATGTCCTCCAACGAGCTTCCAATAGCCTACTTTTTAAACTCAGGTCGTGGCTTACAAGTCCCTAATTTCAAGTTCAAGAATTTCTCACAAAAAGGAATTTATCAAGCAGCCAGCAAATAAAGGAAATCAACAAAATGCAAAATTTCTCAACAATCTATAAAAACAGAATTTGCAAGTAAGCGGATAGAAATTTTATTTACCTAATAACAGAAAAAAACCCTTCGTACCAACTCCTGCGCTCACGTCTTCGCAAAATTCCTAAGTTCAATCTGAAATGTCAATGGTTAAACAAACACATGAGCATGAAAACTAAAGGTGAAATTCAAGAATTTTACTAAATTTTCATCAAAGTATACATACATCTTTGGTGTGTAGTGATTAATTTTATAAGTCATCTCTTTAGAAAGGCATGCAATTGACGGCATAGGTAATTGGAAAAAGAATGACAGAAAAGTCCCCTAGCTTCTAATCATGCCTATGAAGATCCTTATGAACATGTCAAAATACTTTGACCCAACTACATCAATGTCTCTGTCTTATTAATCTAAAAGTCCCCTTTTTTGGGCTCAAAATTTGCACTATAATAGACTGATCAAGTGCAGAAGACACTTAGTACAAGCGTTATACTATATATTTCAAGCAACTCACGTACTGATTAGACATACAATTTAAAACAGAAAAATGATGTAAAGATGCAAGTACTACATAGAATTTAACATAGAAAAAAGCAATAGTGATATAAGTGATACCATTGGGTGAAATATGCACTTAGCCGGAGGACCACCTTTGTGGCAAAAGCCAAAAGGCAGCAAAGGTTACCATTGTTATGCAAATTTTGTGCCTCACATTGGCGGTCCATTATCTGCATCTTAATTGTCTTTGGGCTTATATAGTCACGGTTTCCCAATTCTGTCACCAGAATAATTTCCTGCTAGGCATATATAGACCATGGTCCTTGTTTCATTTATTTATATCGAACTTGTTGCTGAGTGTTCATGATTACGATAAGCAATGCAATTTGGTTGAAGCTCTCTATTCACAGTTTTGCTTAACCGTCCCCATCCCCAAACAGAACTAGCTGCCTAAACAAACTTCAATTACAGCTAGGTTTCATAGAAAAAAATGAAAAACAGGGGGAATTGACTTTTTATCGAACAGGTTTTGGGCAACATACTAATCACCCGTGGACACTTTATTAGCTAGCCTATGTACAATTATGGCATGACGATAGAACAAATGTAACATGGACATAAAGATCGATCTCCTCAAAAAATACGCAATCCAATTGAACAAATTTCCTCAAGTTTTCATCTCCATTGCAGCTAAAGAAAAAGCATCCAACACCGAGTTGCTATTAATGCTACAATTAGATAGATATCATATTTAAATCTTTCAACAATCTTAAATGAGGACAATATAACTCAACTAGCGACAGCTCAGGCCAAGAATCTTTACTTCTCAGAAAAAAATTTCCAAGTTGCAGGTAATTTCTTGACAACGAAATCAAACATAAGAGCTTCATTGTGTTTACCACTTCGATTTTGGAACAACATTTGCGCGCCTGAAGTATCTTCCAGCTTTCCCAATGTACAGCTCCGATCTTCTAATTTTACTCCCTGCCTGCCCTTCCAGATGTCTTAGCCGAAGGATTTAAAGTTGAGGTTAGAAAAGATGAAGATGGTTGTTTGCGGAGACAGCTTGACCAACATTCTGGATTGGCTGAGATAGATTGTATGCGGAGAGGTGAGAGAGATGAGAAGAAGAAAATTTTCACCAAGTCCTTTTGCCGGCAAAATGAAACTTCAGAGTACTTTACCAAGTGTCTGGAGCCAAATTAAAACGATGTCATTTTCTGTCTTTTTTTTTCTCACATTTTCCCAAGTGTCATGATAGGTAGTCTAAAGACACATTATTATTTTATATCATGATAAAATAAAAAAATTATAGTACAGATTATTGAGTTGGTTAATAAGTGTCATGATACGTTTGGTATAACGACACAAACCAACAAGTGTCCTTATAAACATGTCAGAAAAGGCCATTTTTGTTGTAGTGCCTGTTGCGTTTTGAATTTCTTAAATAAAGGTCTTCTCTTACCCCCAAGCTAAATTTCACACACGTTGCTCTTATTCCTAAATATTTAGAGCCCAAGCAAGCAAATATCTCAATTCCGTCCACTAAGTTTATGTAATGTAGTGTACAAATTAGCGTCTAAAGCCATCTCTAATCGAGTCCGTGTTCTTTTACCGAATATTATTTCTGATCTCAATCGGCTTTTATTCCTGGCCAATTAATCACCAGTAATGTCCTTGTTGCTTATGAAGTCCATCATCTTAAATGTAAAAATGCAGGCAAGGAGGAACTCAGGTCGATTAAAATGGATACGAGCAAAGCGTATGATCGAGTTGAGTGATATTTCTCTTAAAAATATTACTAGCTTTAGGTTTCAATTCTAAATTTATTTTCTTAATTTTCAAAAGTATTTCAACAGTTTCTTATTCTTTTTTGCTCATCGGTTTGGGATTTGGCCACTTAAAACCTAGTTGGGGTATTAGACAAGGAGACCCACTTTCCGCATATCTATTTATATTGTGTGCAGAAGCTTTTTACATTTTATCTCAGAAGCTAGTCTTTGTGGAAAGTTGGGAGGCATTGCTGTTGCGCCTGGTGCTTCATCCATTTCTCATTTGTTTTTTGCCAGATGATACTCTTTTATTTGGAAAGCTACAGGGGAGGAGGCTTCAAATTTTATGCAGGTTATCAATCTTTATGAAGGTGCATCAGGCCAGCCGATTAATGTGGAGAAGTCAGTGGTGGTATTTAGCAAGAATACTCCAGAAGCTGATTAATTGGCAATTGAATGTTCTCTTCGAATGCCGCCTGTGGAATCACATGAAAAGCACCTCTGGGGTTGCCTACTATCGTTGAGAGATCTAAAGGTGAGGTCTTTAATTCTATCAAACAAAGGGTTTTTAAACGGATTAATGGAGCAGCAGTTATCTCGAGCAGGAGAAGAAATTTTATTGAATGTCCCTTGTAAAGTTAAGCATTATCTCTGGAGAATTTGCTGTGATTTCTTGCCTACTAAAGTAAATCTGCTCCGGAGAAGAGCTTCAGTGGAGCTCAACTGTCTGTCTTGTGGTTTTGATATTGAGGATCTTATTCATGCAATTTCTTTCTGGGCGTTAAGCTGCCTTAAAGGGCAAGTACGTAAGTGGCAGCAATCAATTCCCAAAGAGTGGGCTCTGGAGTTGTTAGTTACGTTGAAAAATCGTGAAGCAGAGTTGTTTGAGATGTTATGTTGGGCTATTTGGCTTGGGAGGAACCAAAAGCTGCATGAAGATAAACGAGTGGACCCTTTTGAGTTTAGTTAGCTTTGCTTCGGTGCGCTCCAATAATTCCAAGAAGCTAATGTTACTCAGAAATGTCCAGGCGATGGCAAGTTAAAGTTTAATTTTGACGGTGTGGTGTTTAAGGAAACTCAATCTATTGGTTTAGATGACGGTGCGGTGTTGATTTATCTAGTTTAGACCCTCCAATTTTTGACATTACGAGGGACTTAACTAGTTTAGAGATGTCTAGTATTTCAGGAATGAGTAGGAATCATAATAAAATCACTCATATATTAGCTAAGATCGCAGAATTCATATGTGATCATGTCTTTTGGTGGAGAGATCTCCAGAGTTTGTTGTGCCATTTCTAATGGCGGATTTGTTAGAAAGTTAATGAAAGTTCAATACAGGTTATGTTGAGTAAGACGTTGGATTGAAAATTCAAGATTTTGAACTGAAATTTCAAGATTTTGAGATGAAAATAAAAGATCACGCTAAACTTAATGGATTCAAATCTTAATATGTGCAAATGCGTTTGATAACCAAAATTGGACATCTGAATTAATTAAGTGCTACTGAATTTTCTAAACGAAATTTGTTCTAAAAAATAAGTGATAAACTATGCATTTATTACTGAATGTGATATACACTTAAATATACTTGATTTAATACTTAACAATCTAATAAATTAATGGACTCAGATTTTAGATTTCAATTTTATCAAAGTAACCTAAAAATATAGACTATAGATAAAATAACTGCAGATAATGATTTATGTTGAGTAAGCTTTCAAAGCTACGTTTCCCAAAACAAACTTTAGATAATCATTCTCTAATTTTTGCTTTCACTCTAGAAGATGCGTACAATAATGGGTGTATACAAAAATGGAAGTTAAATTGATAACACTAAGCTCGCCAATTCTCATAAAAAAAATGATGACATTGCCTGCATTAATTCTAGTAACGGACTGAAGACAATAATTAATAGGTGACTATATGGTGCCTAAGGCACACAATAAAATGTGGACTTGGTACCATTATTTATTTTTGTGAAAGGATAAACCTATTTTGTAAGGTGTCGCAATTCATCATCATGAAATGAGTGGTAATTTTAAAGCATTAATAGTGAATTCACCTTCATTTTTAACGTTCATATCGCAAAGCCTATTAAAAAATTTCCACCAGCACAAATTCCACTTTTAATAGGTTCGAAAATTCACTCACAAATTTATCCACAAATCCCATTAACAAAAAAAAAAAAAAAAAATGCAGAAAGTTATCAACGGAACTTCTATAGTGCGTTGATGCGACACGTGTTGGTTGGAGATTACTAGATGGGAGTGGGGTTAATCAAAGGTGGTATTTTAGTATTAAGCCCAAAAACCACCGGTAACAATGGTATTGACCCAATTTCAGAGGAATTGACCCACATAAACTGTGAAAGATTATTTTCTCTGTCATTTAAGGCAATTTCTGAACAAGATTTAGGCGTATAATAAAGAAATTATCAACCCCAACCCCCAATATTATGCTAATATGCAATTGGAAAAAATTAAATGAATATTTACTTGAAGTTAAGAAGTGGATACCAATCGGTAGAAAGTGTTTATAACATACTCCGAAATGCCAAAGGACTTCCCAAAAAGTGGGAAGCAGGACAACATCTGAAATATAGTCCAAGTTTGAAGTGCTTTATGTCAAACATATTTCAATATAGAAAAAAAAAAATTACTGGTTAGCATATGTTTGTGCGCAGTATTTGTTGATTGGGAGACGGTTCTAAGGAGGCGGTTTTGCAACAAATAAGTAAACGGGATGTCGATTACTTGGAGTTGTATCTTATGCTGGAAAAATAATTAGACATGTCAGTTAAGTAATATTTCAATTTAAATAAAGTTAGTTAGGAACTAGAACTCGTAACATGGTTGGATATGGTTAGTGAATAGGATATGAATGTTGGGGGATAGAATACAACTAGAATTACTAAGACAAATTAAGCGTGACACTTTGAATTCAAATTTTACTAACATTGCATAATAACACCTTTGACTGATAATTTTTTTTGATACGGAAACTGGAAAAATTTTATTAAGA